GTGACTAATATAATAAAAAAATAAAATAAAATAAAATCCTCTGAGGGGCACCTGTGAAGGCTACAGATGGAGTGCCCAGCCTGGAGAGCAGGGTATAGGCTCCCTCAGAGCATCCTGGGGAAGAAAAAGAGGAGGAATGCTTTCCAGCCAGGCTGGAAAGTTCAGAGTCAGATTTTAATCTACTTTTATAAAGAAAGGTGACATGTCTCGTACCTTCATGGCATGGAGCAAATTCCTACTGACTCCACTGGGTGTTCACTGGAACCCCAAAGAGCAGAAGGTGGTCTCCTGGGTAACACCACTTACGGAGATTGTGGGAAACAGAAGGAGCAGCCAGACGGCCAGAAGGGAGAGCCTGATGCCACAGAAGCGACGGCAATTTCACCAACTAGAGACTCTTCAGCAGTTCAATGCCGCGGGGATTCCAGTAGGATGAGGACTGAAAAGTTGCCATTGGACTTGGCAACACAGTGGTTCACTGATGTGATGGGGCATGAGCCAGATGGCTGTGGCTTGAGGAGTCCATGGGGCACAAGGACATGTGTCCCCTCACAGCCCTGAAGCATCAGCTCCATTGGCCAAGTGGTCAGGTGCTTCCAGGGCAGTGTCAGGGCCAGGTACCCATCCTAGTCCCATCAGTGGCAAGAGAGAGCAGAGTGAGCTCAACCCAGTGGATCTCCATGACTCAGAGAAACCCCCAGCAGGAGACGTCCACCTGCCCTGGGTGGTGGTGTCGCTTTCATGGAAGATCAACCCCGTTGCTATAAAACTAAGAGGCAGGTTTATACAGAGACAAATCTCTGAAGAAACTTGAACCTTTTGAAGATGTATTCAAATTCCCCACTCCCGTCTCATTTGTTTGCTGAAGGGGTGGAGAGAGGTGAAGGATCTGGTCCTTCTGCTGCAAATTCAACATTTATTTAGAGGGCTCAATATGCCTGTCACCTTGTCCTGCATGTTTACCCATAGCCTCCCATTTAATCCTGCCACAGCCCGTGGGAGAGATACACCTACACTGCGTGAGGGGACAGAGAGGTTGGCTTGCCCAAGATCAGATAGCTAAGTAAGTGGAGCTCGAATTTGTGCCTCCGGGTACCTCGAGTCCAACTTCACTGCTTTCTCCACTAAAACATAGTGTAATTATGGGAATTCAAAAATTCCCAGCTCCTTCCTTGTATGAAAAGTGAGGAACTTATTGTGGGACTCGGGCCTTGGGCTGAGGAGGTATCCTGCTATGTCCACGTGCCACGTCTGGCGGGCAGGAGCGGAGCTGTGTGGGACCAAAGCCCAGGCCAGGCCCTCCTCTTCTCCGAGGACTCATCTGAAAAGATCTCCACCTGGACAATCTGGGCTGCTTATCTCCAGAGCATGGACTCATCGTGAGACCAGTGTGAGCTTGCTGCCTGGGCTGGACAGCAGAATTCCAAGGCACAGGATGCCTGGGCCAGCACAGAGGAGGTAGAGAATGAGCGGCATGAGTCTCTCAGAGCCACCCACCCACAGGAGGAAGAAGGGAAAAGGAGAAAGGAGACACGGAGGTATCCCGGGGCGACAGCTTGTTATGGCAGAGGAGGGCCTCACAAAAAGCATCCACGTGGGACGTGAGTTCGAGAGGAGTCAGGGGGCCTCCTCCCATTCATAATGCATTTGTCTCAGGTTCTGGAAACTGCATGAGCTAAGCCTCTGGTCGTGTGACACTCTGAGGGGTGTGCCCAGCCTTCTCTGTGGAGTTGGCCTGCCCTGCCCCTCCCACGGCAGAGGCCTGCTGGAGAATGGAAAGATACACAGAGCCAAGCGGCAGATCCTGTGAGGTCACAGCTAGGAGAAACCTACCTGACTTGGGAAGGCAGCTTTTAAAGTCGGACAGCCTGGATTCAAAGTCCAGCTCTACCACTTTAGCAGTCATGTCTTCAGGGAAGCTTAGTTCTCTTCCTTTGGCCTTTGCGTCCTCATCCCTAAAACAGGGATAATAGTGCCTACTCCCTGCTTTCGGGAGATAAGACACATCAGGTGGTTAGCACAACATCTGCAAAGCTGCATAGCACACATTCAGCAAACGCTAGCTCTTATCATCATTATCCTCATCATTATCGTTACAGGGAGCTCTCCACGTGCATCTCCCAACGTCCCCCCAAGTGCATCAGGACATTGGCTAAGCAATTATGGGAAACAATAGCCCTTGGGCATCTATCCAAACTCCAGAGGCAGCTGGATGGGCAGCCAGGCTGTAACTGGCTCTGCCCCACACCCAACACACTCACGTGGCCCTCCCCTCCTTCCCCGGGGGGACATTCAGCAGTCAGTGGAGTTGACAAAGCCAGAGAGTCTGAGGGGCACCTGGAGATGCCTGGGATCCAGGGACCAGAGGACGGTGTCACCAGCAACCCCCCACCATCCCCCACCAGTACAGACGCGCGCACCTTTCTGGAAATTCTGGACCCATTTGGGAAGTCCCATCACCCCGTTCCATGATTCTTATGGCCTCTATAAATGTCCGGTGTCTAAGGAAAGTGTTTTTCTTTTCCTATTGAGATACTGCTTTTTCTCTATCTTATCCCTCCCACGCATACCCCTGCATCCCTGCAAGTCACTTCTGCCCTAGGAAGCCAGAGAGAAGAAGGGTCTGAAAAATAATGTGGCAGGAAGCCTCCTCACTGGATGCTTAGATGGAGGAGAAATAAGCTTTGGAAATAAGCTGAGGTTGTAGCAAACTGTGGGCTATTATTAGGTCGCTGTGTTACTTGCTAGTAGGCTAAGCCTGGCACTTGCCCCACCCCTATACCTTTTTGTTGGGATGGAGCCAGAAAAGAACTGAAGGAGGGACTTCTCCCCCTCACACTGACATGAGAGAGTAAAGAATACAAATCTGAGGTGTCCGAAGGCCAGGCCCATGGACGCAGGCTGGAGGATTGTGTTCGGGACCAGAGGCAGGAGTTTGCAAGTGGGGCGCGGGCCATGCATCCACGGGATCATAATGACCGAGGTCAATATATTCAATGCAAGAAAAGCAAGTGCAGAGCAAGAAGGGATAGATCTTTCAGAAGCCAATGGGACCTTCCAGTTCTGTTGGAAATATTTGAATAAGCTTTGGGGCTTTCTTACAACCATGCCTTTTGCTGAGCTCAACAAAGGCAGAGGTAGAGAAAGAGGAAGAAGGGAAAAGGAGAAAGGATAAGCACTGGATTGTCCTTCACCCACCCCCGTCTGGGTTTTTTTGGTGAAGGTTTACTTACTTTTTAAGACTCCTTTCAAGCCTCACCTCCTCTGTGAAGCCCTCCCTGACCTCTCCAGGCGTGATTGGTAGCTTCCAAGTATGGTGTCCATACTCATCATAGCTTCCATCACACTGGGTCACAATCGTGAGCTCCTGAGAACACTGTCGTAGCCTTTGTACCCCCGGGCCTGTCATGAGTACCGGGTACAGAGTCGGCCTGATACGGTGGGTGGCTGGCTGGCTGGCTAAATAAACACACAGAACCCACAGCTGAGGAACCAAAACTAAGAACGCAAACTGAGGCTGTCTGGGCACCTGGGTGGGCAGGGTATCAGTAGAACATCCAATCACAAATTTTTCAGGTCACACAACTTTTATTGCTGAAGACCATCGCCGGGGCTGCCGTAGACATGAACGTGGCCCTCCCCCTGCCCCAGCCCTGGTAACATGCAAGCAGCCCCCTCGCACCGTGCCCAGCCATGCTGTCTGCCTGAGCTGGGCTGGGCTGACCCGCATGGACCCTGCCTCTGAGAGTCATAGCACCATGAGGCAGGCCCAGGGGAAGTGAGGGGAATGGGACTGGGCAAGGAAGAGGTGGCCCAGAGGAGAGGCTGCGGAAGGCCCAGGCCTCTAGCTGGCATGGAGGCCAGGCACACTGATGGCTCACAGGAGCAGGGCAACTCAGATCCTTCAACATGGCTGTTCGGAGGGCCTGGGGACGGTGTCAGCTCTCTCTCCAAGGCAGTGTTCGTGTCAGTGCCAGGTTTCTGAAACAACTGAGAACTTGAAAGGCGGAGAAGCTGAGAGGAAACTGCAAGGCCCAGGACAGCGCTGGGTACGAGGGGGGCCTGTCCACCTGGACTCTCTCAGGCTCCGAGGCCCACAGAAGACAACAGCCATTTCTTCACGCCCTGGTCATGGCCTTCAGATACAGCAACACCTGCGGCTCTCTGTGATGGATTTGCTCGCCAGCCCGCGTGAGGACTCCCTACCCTGAGGACCCTAAAGGGGCTCCTTCATCCAGTCCCTTGAGGTCAGGAACATTCAGCAGGACTCTGGAATGGCACAACTCCCATAAGTCCCTTGGAGTTTTGGGGGTGATGGATGCTAGCACTTCAGGCTCCTGGAATTTTTGGAGAATCTTTAAAAAGGCATCTACTTCCATTTCTTGAATATAAAAATAAAATAAAAATCTGCCCCAACTGCCTATGACCGAACAAGAACAGCTGTGAACCTGGACAGCTGCAGTGCAGCCAGCCCTCCACATCCGGGCACTAGCCCAAGGTCTGAGAAGGGGCAGGATGCTCGTAATGCCAAGGGGAGCATCTTCCTGCTAGGGCCAGCCCAGGCCCTCCACCACCTGGGTGTTACCTGGGCTGCTGGTGGCCACGCAATCTGGGCTAGTCTCCGAGTCAGAGTCAGAGGAGCAAGGATTCCTGATGTGAACTTCCAGGCCCTTCTCTGGGCCGTTTGGGCTTCACTTCCTCCATCCGTCATGGACACCCCTGCAGGGACCTCCATGGTGCCCACACTGTTAACTCCAGGTGCTTTCCAGCCTGGGGTTTGGGAAGAGCCGACCACTCTCCTGGTTTCTGAAGACCTTGGGACAGCAACAACACACACACACACACACACACACATGCATGCACACACGCATGCACATTCACAGAGGCAACAGACAGCGGAGGTGGGAGTAACGGAGGTGACTGGTGGCCTTTAGCCCAGGTGACACTGCAGATGGCCCAGACACTTTGGCCAGTGCCGTGAGGGGGGACAGTCCAGCTGCTTAGGATTTCCGGAAGCGCACCTCCCTCTGAGGACGAGAACAGGGAGAACAGGGTGAGGCTGGGTCAGGAATACAGATGTCAAAGGTGGGGGTTCAGAGCCTGAAATTCAGTCCAGATGTCACTGGGCACTCAGTAAGGAGGAGCCATGGAAGCAGAGAGACCACTAGGCTGGATTTCTGGAGCAAGCACCTGAGCTCTCTGCACTGCTCCGCCCTCGCTCGGGCAGAGCGGGGAAGGGGAGCATAGCGTTCCTGCTTTACAGCTAAGATGGCAGGTGCAGGGAAGGTAGGGCTGCGCTGGGTCGGCAGAGGTGGGAGTGAAGCCCCATGCCCCAGATCCCCATGAGACTAACTTCCTGCCAAGGAGAGAGGCCTCCTGCCCACGCCACTCCACTGGGCTGTGTGAACTCACACCTTAGCCATCCCTGGGGAGAGGACATGCTACTGGGGCCCAGCCTGGGGCCACCCCTTTCCAACCCTTCAGAGGAAGGAAATGGAAGGCGAGAAACACAGGCTGGGGTTGGCCCAACATTCGATTCCTGTCCTGTCCTGGTCTTCCGTACTTTCTGAACACCCCCAAACATGAGGGGTGAGGGGACCTCTCCTAAGACCCCAGGGAAAGTCTGGGACCTCTACCAGGCACCCCACCTTGGGAGTACCCAGTCTGCCCCGTGCAGTGGCCCGTGCAGGCTCTCACCTCCATCTTGCTATAAATCCAGGGGAGGACTTCGGTCACTTTGGTGTACACACCGGGCTTGTTTCTCTGGCCACAGCCCGTGCCCCAGCTGGTGACTCCTGCCAGGTACCAGTGGCCTTTCTGCTCACAGACCAGGGGCCCCCCGCTGTCTCCCTGTGGGGGGAGCACACATCTCAGCACGGTGGGAGAGGTGGTCCTTGAGCAGGAAATGGCTGGCACCTGCTTCTCACTCAAAACCCACCACCCCAGGCTTCCCCCACAGCCCCTGGCTCCCAGGACCTGAGCCCCACCCAGAAGCAGCCTCACCTGGCAGGAATCTCTGCCTCCCCGAAGGTCCCCGGCACACATCATCCTTGGGGTAAGGTAACTGTCATAGACCAAAAAGTCATTGCATTTCTTAAAGTCGATGAGGTTGACCTGTACCTCCCGGAGGAAGGGGGATGTCTTTTCTTCAGAGAAGTCAAGTGGAGGAAAGAGAAGATGGGAAAGGAATGAGACCAGATCTGGCTACCTTCACAACCTTCTAGCTGCTCACCCCAGGACTCAGACTCACAGCTTCCTGGGAGCGGAGGATACCATTCCCGTGGTTGGCCACCTAGAACATAGGGGCACACACACCCTCGCACCACACACAACTCCCTACACATAACATAGAGACAGGCATGTACACAGACAAACTCACAAGCCTATTGGGCTGCCTTCATCTTGCACAATCTTTTCTGTATTCAGAGCACCATCAAATACATCATTTCATTTGTTTTCAGTAACTATGTGTCCTAACGAGGTGTAATTAATCCATTTACAGTTGGAGGAACTTATGGCCAAAGGCGTGACTTGCCCACAGTCACACGGCCAGTCAGTTATGGAGTCGAGACCAGAACAAGGCTGCTCCCAGGCCAGTCACCATCCATTGCACTGAGCAAGGGAAAGGAGGCCCCGAAACCCGTAACTGGCCAGAGGCTAACCGTGAGGCCAGCCAAGTGCTCTGGGGCCAAGCATAAACAACCCCACAGAACCAACATCAGCAAAGACCACTCAGCTATAGTGATGAAGCAAGGCAAAAGAAGACCACTTTGTAATCTTGTTTAAGCATAAATGAAAACAAGGTAGGTTACAAACCACAAAAATATCAACCGTCCCCTCTCCCAGCCAATAGGAGTGGCTACTGCCTCTTCACCAATTATAGCTTTAGACTCAGCTTAATCTTAACTCCTAGATGAGATTATTAGGATGTCCAATCATAGAGTTATCCCTGCTTCCTGAAAGCATCCAATCTAAAGAAATGCTCCACTTTTTTGAACCGCCCACCTCCCCAAATTCTCCAGATCTATGATAAGTCCTTTCTAGCACTCTGTTATTAAGACTTCCATGGAAAGACATGTATCATATGATCTCACTGATATGAGGAATTCTTAATCGCAGGAAACAAACTGAGGGTTGCTGGAGTGGGGGGTGGGGTGGGAGGGATGGGGTGACTGGGTGATAGACACTGGGGAGGGTATGTGCTCTGGTAAGCGCTGTGAATTGTGCAAGACTGTTGAATCTCAGATCTGTACCTCTGAAACAAATAATGCAATATATGTTAAGAAAAAAAAAAAGAGGAAGAAGAAGGTAGCGGGAGGGGAAGAATGAAGCAGAGGAAATCGGAGGGGTAGACAAACCATGAGAGACGATGGACTCTGAAAAACAAACTGAGGGTTCTAGAGGGGAGGGGGGGGAGGATGGGTTAGCCTGGTGGTGGGTATTGAGGAGGGCACATTCTGCATGGAGCACTGGGTGTTATGCACAAACAATGAATCATGGAACACTTCATCTAAAACTAATGATGTAATGTATGGGGATTAACATAAGAATAAAAAAAAATAAAAAAATAAAAAGACTTCCATGGTTCTCCATGGTATATGTTCCCCTCTGTGCAGTGAGCAATGAGCCCAACGTGTTCAGCTACAGGGGGTCTCCGGGTGGTCTTGGCTGGAGACCAACTGCTTTGACATATACTCAAGTGTATATACGCACATTCGTCTCGGGTTGGTTTACAGGATTTTACTTCGGAGCACTCTGTGCGAAGCTGTTTGGGGGACACAGGTACCTGGTGTGGTCTTCATTTAGGGGGACACAGGTACCTGGTGTGGTCTGCATTTAGGGGGACACAGGTACCTGGTGTGGTCTGCATTGATGGAGGGATCTTAACCAACTAAGTGGAGCCTACATGGTCTGAATACAGGATGCATAGTGTTGTCAATAGTCAAATAGTCCATTTGTCATCAAATAGTCTTTCTTTTTTGTAAAGATGTGTGAATGAAGGGTTGGTATCCTCACCAGGAGGTGGTACCTAAGGGTTCTGAGGAAATAAATGTACAGGCTCTAAGGTACAGAGCTGTATATAAACACATTTTGTATATTCTTACAGGATAGATTTTCTGAGCTTATACAGCTATATGTGAAAGTAGCTGATTATTAGGTAAGCCTGTGTCAACAGGTGGTATTTTTTTCACTTGCACATCTGGGACTTTTTCTTTTAATTGACTAAAGCTGCATATACTGAAAACAAAAACAAAAAATTTTTTTCCATTTTGTTTTCACTTTTTAAAAAAATTCAGAATAACTTCAATTTATTTATTTATTTATTTTACTTCAATTTAATGGGGACTTTCTCCATGGAAGAGTTAGTCCAAAGTTTAAGAAACAACCGAGGCTCTGGTGGTGGGTATTGAGGAGGGCACATTCTGCATGGAGCACTGGGTGTTATGCACAAACAATGAATCATGGAACACTTCATCTAAAACTAATGATGTAATGTATGGGGATTAACATAAGAATAAAAATAATAAATTAAAAAAAAAAAAGAAGTGTTGAAATGAACAAACATTGTTTAACATTGGATTCCTATGAGATATATGAAATTTCAAAACACTTTTAAGGATTAAAATACTTTTGTCACAAAAAAAAAAAAAAAGAAAAGAAACAACCGAGGCTCTCTGTGAGCAAGTGGTGTAGTATGATGCGGAGAGCATCATGGCAGGGTGGCCTGGCGGGTTCTAGATTATTCTAGACTACTCTAGACTTAGTTCTGTCTATCAGAAACTACCAGGGTGACCCTGGGCAAGTGACAGAGCCCCAAAGGTCTTCAGTTTCCTCATTTGTAAAATGGGGAGAATGGGTCAAGGGTGGAATTCGGGAGATCAAAAGTTTCTAACAGGTGCTATGAGATGTATTATAAACTGGTCTGCTGTGTGTGGGGGTGAGGTGAACACACACATCCACATTCAGGCCCATGAATCTCTATGCCCAAACCCTCATCTAGACAGGCCCTCCTCTATACACCCTGACATATCACCCCCACACACTCCGTACAGACACACAGACACAGCCCAGCATCTCCGCCTCTCACCATCCGTCTCCTTGGTCTTGCCAAAACCTGTGATCCAGCAGGTCTCATTGAGGCTGAAGGTCTGTCCGTGCATAGGGAGGCAGGCAGGGTGGATGTGAGCTACAACAAGACATCGAGACATCAGAGCAGGGACAAGGCTGGAGGTCTCAGCTGGGGTGGTACTGTGGAGGGACAGGGTGCCCATGTCCTAGGACCCTCCCTCCTTGCCCCCCAGCGTGGTTCTGAATCTTCCAGGGCCTTGAACTGACCAGGCAAGAAACTCAGTCACTTTATCTTGACCCTCTGGCCTTCAGGTTGCTGCTGGAGTTCCCTCAAGCATCCTGATCTCAGTGGGTGCTATGTGGGCAGAAGCATATGCCTTGGAAACCCCCTGTGCCACGCCGATCCCACGTGGCCATAAGTCTCTCCCTTCTAAGAGCGGCCTTCCCAGCTGAGCCTCCTCCATGCCCGTCCATCAGAGGAAGGAGGAACAGCAGGCTAAGTCCCAGGCATTAGCACCATGGCATCTCAGCGATGTGTCCAGCCTGGTTTGGGGAGAGCACCCACATGTGGGTCAGGAACTAAGGGACTCCCTCCAGGTCAGACAAGCTCCCCAAGTGGGAAGAGCACATCCCTAGAGGTACAGACCACAAAACCACTGCTCCCTTGCCCCCATGCTCAGAAACATTTAGAAGGTGCTGTTGTACATCATGTCACAGCTCCCTCTGAGGACTGGGATCTTTACTAGGGCAGGGACCACCAAACTCCACTTTGCAAAATGAAAATATCAGCTGATAGAATGTTTGCAGTGTTCTCAATTGTTTGTTATGCTCACCGCAGCTTCCTGCACCTAGAACAGTGCCTGACACATACAAAGTGCTCAACAAACATAGAAAGGAAGAAAGGAAGGAGCGACACAGAGGAAGGGGGTGTGGGAGAGGGAATGAATGCTAGATTCTTCTCCTATAAATTGGGCTCTAAGTATCGGGGTCTAACACATTGGTCTGCTAGAGAGTAAACAAACAAACAAGAAATGAAGGAATGGCATCAATTATTAACCAAAAAATGCAAAACATAAGTTCTTAAAATATGCTCGTTTTTAAGAGCTAGGGTCTTAAAAAATATATAACACGGTTCTATCCTCCACTCGTTTTTATGGGGGAATTAAATTTATCAGTGAGTTTTCACAAGGTTTCTCAGATAGTACTATGACTTGAAAGTGCTCAGTCCACCAAGGAGTTTAAGAAAATCTACCCTGATTTCTAAACCAAAAATCAGGGCACATGGTCTGACCATGGGACTATATAAATCTAAGCTGTGATTCTCAGACTAGAGGTGTGCTTCCTGCCCAGGGGCCTATCAGAGTCTGGAGAGGGACTGCCATAGTCTGAAAAGCATATGCAATGTTATAATAGCTTTCATTCGGTTTTACAGATTACTTAATTTGATTGGGAATTCCAAATAACATTAAGTGGGGTCGGGGGGGCGGGACATCTGGATGGTTAGCCAAATGGAGTCTGGGTTTGGCAAGGTTGGAAAGGCCTATTCTGGTCCTGCAGACTGCCCCCTCTTAGCTGGGCATGAGGGGCAGCGCATGGGCAGAGGACCGCCCCTCGCCTTGCAAGTCCCGGGGCTCCTCAAAATAGGCTGGTAGGCTAGAGCGGAGGAGGAGTGGCGGGGAGGCTGGCCCTGGGTGGGCGTGGCCCTGGATGGGCGTGGCGCTGGGCCAGCCCCGCCCAACCGAGCTCAGCCGCCGTTTCCTCCTCCTCACCCCACAATGACGACCTAGTGTCTGACTCAGGACCGACACCGCCTCTGTAATTAATGTGCCAGGAAAGACCAGCTCGCAGGCTCAGAGCACGAGAAAGTCTGGACTAACCAGAGAGCCCTCCAAGGCTGCCAGAAAGCCCAGTCCACCTTAGCGATCCTTCTTCAGAGAAGCCCCATGTGTGCCACCTCGGCTCCCCCAGCTGTTCCCGCCCTCAAGTCACTGACCTCTACTGACTGAGCGTCCCCCAGTTTGTTCTATTTGCAACTGCAACTGCAGAGCGCGCTGCATAGCAGCAGACACACAGTATTTGGTAAGTGCACACATGAGTGAGTGAATTAATGGATGACACCCTCTTTGATCCCCGAACAGCTCCCCTAACATTTCCGCCCTGTGGCCAAAACTCGTCGCAATTCACTGTCTGAACTCTGAAAGTGTGCTCGTTTTGTGTTTCCACCTGCAGTGATCCCAATTTGCCAGCAGAGAGCCCAGCAAGAACAGCATTGCTCCGGAGGCAGACCCACCTGGATCCCATCCTGGAGCTGCCGCTTAGTACTCCGTGGCCCTGGGTAATTTTCTCTCCCTGAGGCTCCATCTCCTCAAATGTAAAATGAAGCTAATAATAGTACCTGCTCTACAGGATTGGTCGGGAAGAGTCAATGAGTCAATGATACCGCAGTGGCAAAATGCCTACCACAGTGCCCAGCCCCTGTTAGGTGCTCAATAAATAGGAGTGACACAATTCGATCTATTTATATTGGTTAAGACCAGTATCCAAGCCTTATCTCTGTCACCAACTTGCAGTGTAAGATGTGTCATTTGGGACAACCTTATTTCCAGCCTCTGGGCCTCAGTTTCCCCAATGGTAAAGTAGAAGAGTTCCATTAAATGATCCCCAAGAGCCTTTGGCTTCCACCATGCTGAGGCTCTGGGACCCCAAGAGGGGTCTATGGACACGGCAAGGCTGGGCCCTGAGGGCTACCTGGAAGAGCCGGCGTGGCTGTGACTCACCAGACAGGGTCAAGGGCTTGGAGAGCCGCATGAGAGCAATGTCATAGTCATCCTCCTCGTCTGTGTAGTTGCCATTGATGATGATCTGGGAGACGGAGGCTGCCTCAGGCAGCTGGAGCAGGTTGCTGGTGCCTGCGTAGACCTTCCAGCCCTCCAGAATCTTCTCCTGGGTCCTGCAAGAGCCCCAAGGGAGCATGGTCCGGCTCCACGTCTGGTGGAGCCCCCTGGCAGCCGCAGCACCAGCTTACAGGCAACGGGATGGACCAAATGACCTCGGAAGGGAGCCCTCCTTCTTAGCCCGGGGCTCTAAAACAACCCCTTTTCTCCAAAAGCCCATCCTAAACTGGCCACCCAGCCCCTCACAACAATAAAGAGGAGTGATGGGCACAATCTCTGAGCATTTACCCCCCACTGTCTCCTCCGTGCACCACCAAGCTTCCTATAGGGTGGACAGGTCACAGCTCAGAAGTATTATCCTCAGCAGAAATGGAGCTGTAGACAGGACAAAGTCATCTGCCAAAGACTCACTCACTCCTGGGGAAGCCAGTGCCCCTGAGGCCTTGTCCTCAGAGCCCTTTCCTGCCCCCCAGCTAAAGGGACAGGCTGATGGCACCGCCCTCCCTGCGATCCCCATCCCTCAATTCCCTATTCCCGGGACAGCATTCCTGATTCCTCAGGCTCCTCTCCTGGAAGTTCGTGTTGCAGGAAGTGGCAACAAGCCCAAAGCCTCTATTTCACCCCGTTCTTCAGGGACAGGCTCCCAAGCCCTTTTTTCCTGCCTGCCTCACTCTCCCTCCGGGTCATCCAGGTTGTTTTCTCATTCTGGGCTGCGCTCAAAACAAGTAGCCCCAGTGCACAGTCCCAGGACCAAACAGCAACTGCAGATCATGGCCCTGACCCTGGGGGCCTGGGCTCACAACCAGAGCCCTCCTCCGCAGAGACAAGTCAGTCTGCCATCAGCCCTCCCCGGTGCTCCCCCGGGGCCTGGGCGGCATGGCATCACCCGCCCCTCGGGCACTTACACGAAGAAGCAGTGGGCGGCGGTGAGCACCCACTGGGCGTCGATCAGCGTGCCCCCGCAAATGTGAGTGGTGCCGTAGTGCAGACTGACTTGCCAAGGCCACTTGCTCTCTGGGGCCAGCGCCCCTCCCACGATCCGCCCTGTCATGGCCCTCAGTCCACAGTCTGGGGAGAAGCAGGCAGATGAACCGTGACCTCGGCTGCCCTCCGAGCCACTCCCATGCTCCCTGGGCGCGGCGGGGCAGGCTCGGGCAGCCCCTTCCTAGGGGCACCCACCCGCCCATGGACACAGCATTGCTCACTTAATCTGACATGGCCCGGCTGTTTCTTGCCCAAGCAGAGCTCCCATGTGGTGAGTTGGATTTCTGGGATCACCCTGTGGGAAGTTGCATCCCTGGCAAGTTCCTCTTTCCTCCCACTCATTCATTCTTTCCTGAACTTTGACAAATGCTCACTAAAGTGCCTGAAGTTGGGGGCACTGTGCCAAGCATCATGTCATGATGGTGAATCCCAGGGCTGCCATGCTGTGCAGGTGGGTCTGTGCCCATATGGTTCCCCAGTGGGTCATTTAGTGCTACTGGGGACCCTGTATGTACCCCCAACGGAACATTTCCAAGCATGTTCTGGAGTCATCCCCCCAAAATTGTGGACAAGGAGGGCAGTCCGTGGAGTTTGTTTGGACGGTGTCCTTTTTGTCTTTGAAGGGGGAAAAAGGGAAGAACCAGCAGCGGTCTGAGGGGTGGGCACTCTGTCCATAGCCCCGTGCCCACCCACTCAGGGGAGCACCCCCACCTGGTCATTCCTGAGAACACAGCACTTGTAGGCTGGTTAACAGCTTGGGCTTTGGGGTCAGACCCAAGGTCAGATACCAGCTCCTCACCTACCAGCAATCTGTCCCTAAGCAAGGCAAACATTTCAGTCTCTTATCAGTTAGTGGACAGTAAAGGCACCTGCCACATGAGAACCAAATGCAATTGTTTATCAAGAGTCAGTAAGAGTCGAATGTACTCGGTAAATGTTCGCCCTGGATCTAGTTCCGCATCTGTTGATATGGGAGCTTTCCGCTGATCCAGACTAGCCCTCCCAGTCCTCCCCACACCCAGAATCCATGAGATTTGAATGGCTTCCCCCATATGAACAAGGTTGCTGGGCTGAGCAGAGTCCGGAGAAGGGAAAGTGCTACCCTGAGACTATCCCCGTGCCTTACAGGGACCCCAGCCCCGAAGCAGGCCTGCTGGTTAAGACCATCTTCCTGTGGGACCCCCAGGGCTGGCCATCTCCCCCAGAGGGGTCCCACGCCTCTGTTTCCTCACTCCCACCCCACAGAGGCCACAGCCCAGGAGGAAGAGCATCTTCTTACGGGAACACTGGAGAGAGATATACCGCTGGGAAGGGCATTCAGACCTGCACGAAGGGACACAGATGATGGGAAAGGGCACATTAGATACCTCCTCCAGGAAGCCTTCCATGATTGACTCATTCCAACTTCCTGTCCCATTTCCTTTGCATATGATAGAGATTCTGATCTCCCTCCCAGAGAGACAAACCCTTCTAGTGCTTCCTCCAGGAATGGAGATGGCTCAGTGCAAACCATCGCCACCCTTGTCCCCATGCCCCAGTTTTCTTATGGTAGATTGCACACATTGGGTAGATCCATGTCCTTTGAACTCATGACTTCATTGTCCCAGCATCTTTCCAAAGCTCCTGGGCCAGTTCCTCAATGCTCCATGGGCAATGCATCTTACAAAACACCTAGCACAAAGCAGGCATCCAGGCTAGAGCTCGTTCGCTTCTCTTCCCTCCCCTCCCCATCCCTTTTTCTCTGGGAGCCTGGCTTCTCCTTTCCCTCCCCGAGGTAAACACCGCTAGCTGGTGGAGCACCCCTCAACCTCCCTGAGTGGGATTGGGACAAGGGCGGGGCTGCAGTGCAGAGATGACAGATGGTGTGGCCCAGGGCCTCCCAGCCAGGCCTCCCTATCCCTGACCACATGCACCTGGCCCTCCTCCTGCAGCTGCTTCCCCTCCCCCGACACCCCCCAGTGATGTTTCTCCCTCCCCACCCCAAGCCCACTCCCTGCAGCAGCTCCCAGTCCAAACACCTGGCGGATAGGTGGCCCCAAGGTCTATTCATGGTCCCTGACCACCAGATGAATGCTTGGGCCACCCCTGACCTTGAGGTTCTCTCTGCACCATGCTTCAATAAGAACTTGCAAGTCAGGAGATGGGTGGCAAATGAGGACTGTTTCTGGGATGCTCGGGACATTCACGATGGACTCCTCCTGGAGGCTGGGTCCCAAAATGGCCAAAGGAGAGGGACTCCCTGACTCAAAGCACCCCACCATCTCCCTGCTCGCAGGCAGGCAGCCTGATCCACACCACCACACCTGTAGAGGCTTTCCTGGAGGGTAGAGCTGTATTTGGAGATTGAGAAGCTGCTGGCAAGATCCCTACGGGCCACCTCGGTCGTCCGGTAAGAGCTGTAAGGGAGGGAAAGAAGGATGAGCCCCCTTGAGACAGGCTGCCCCCCTTCCCGGTGCCCCAGCTGCCATTAGAATCTTGCTGGCAGAGGACAGAGGCGGTTAAGGCCCAGTACCCCCAGCCCCCACCCGCGTATTCCACCACTGTCCCCACTAGCCCTGTGCACTGGCCCAGGACACAGCAGCATTAGCACCCCCTGGGGATTTGTTAGAAATGCAAATTCTTGGGTCCTCTTAACCCTAGATCTCCTGAATCGGGAACTCCGTCTGGTTCGATGTTTTAGCAGGCCCTCCGGGTGATTCTGATACACAAGCGAGTTCAGGAAACACTAGCCGGGCCCTTTTCCAGCCAAGCTGCGATCCATGGGCCAGCAGTAGCAGCCCCCCAAACCTGCTGAGCCAGACTCTGCATTTTAAAGATTCCCCACATTATGGCTTTGCACATGAAAGTCTGAGAACCTTGTACTCGCTTACTGGACCTCAGACCACAGTGTACATAAGAATCACCTTGGGGCATTTGTTAAGCAGGTTTTCGATCCTAATCCAGAGATTCCTATTTGGGGGTGCATTTTAACAAGCACCCCCAGGGGATTCTGATGTGGCTGATCCGTGGACCACTATCTGTGTGGCACTTCTGTGCGTTTCTAGAACATGGTGCACCCTTGCATGAGAGTGTGCATTTTGCACATGCTGTTCCCCTCCCTGGGGGCTTCTCTGTTCCCTGCTCTCCACCAGGTGCAGTCAGGCACCCTCTCTGTTGCGTACCCATAGTGCTTTGCACAGGTCCTTATCATTACACATAGCATTATGCTGTGGTTGTTGGTTTAAGCCTCTCTCCCCCACACCATACCGGAGGTTCTTGAAGGGCAGGGGGATCTTGTCAGGGTGCCCATGGTCTCCGGCACATATCAAACCTCAATTACGTGCTTGGAATAAATGACACACTATCTACTGAAGCCCAAGGGAAGTTCAGATTTGCATAAGGTCGTACAACTCAACAACTGAAGACGTCTGTCTTCTTCCAGCCAGATCCCCTGACTCCCCTCTTACAGATCGGAATTCTGAGGCTGGGGTGAGGGCAGAGGACAGGTTCTAAGTCCTAGCCTCCGAGCCCTGGTTTTCAAGGCGCTGCCTCGACAGAGAGTCCACAGTGACCGCCTAAACCCTTCTCCCCACAACCTCACACACATTGGTGAACCCCAAAACTCGGACCAAGAGGGAAGATGGAGTTGGCTATGTGGCCTGGAGATAAAGGGAAGAAGGGGGGACTCCTTCAAGTGGGAAGGCTGTCCTAACCCTACTCCCAGCTCCACCCCCCAGCATCTGCTTTGGTGTGAAATCTTTAGAGCCAAAGATTCTTAAGACTTTACCTGGCCACACCTGCCCATCTCCTTCCCCCTTGGATGAGTTCCAGCTCAAGCCACAGCTGCTGGAGCTCAGAGCCTGAGCCTCTAGTTTCCGGCTGGGAGGAGAAGATAAGACCTGCTCAAAGCCTACCCCCTTCACAGGACCACCGTGATCATTAACTGTGACCACGGCCACAAGGCCACTTTGATGCTCCTACTGCAGATCTCCAGATCACTACTCTGGCCCCGTGGGAACAACTTGCCCCCAGACTTGGGCTCCCAGGGCCCTTTGAATAGCTCAAGAGCGTCCCGAGCTAGTGCCCTCAGCCCTGGTCCTCAAGAGTCTTTTTAATGAGTTGCCCCCAGTGAACCTGAGGGGCCCTTGCCGAGAGCCCAGGACGTCCCTGAAGCTGGGACCCAGGGGGGGAGGTTTACCTCAGGAAACCCAGCTGCTGACAGGTCTTCTCTGAGTAGGAGTCATTCCAGCTGTCACTGCAGATGGGAAGCCACTGATGGGAGGATCCGGAGTAGACTTTAAGCAGAGACTTGTCCCAGTCAAACCTCACTGCCGGGCAGGAAAAGGGCAGAGCGGGCTCTCAGCACCCAGGTCTTGAGGAATGTACTGAGTTAGGCTCTGAGACGCTCCTGTCCTGAGGCTCCTCGTTGAGGCCTGGGGAATGTCTGGGAGCAGCCAGGAGGTACTGATCACCAGCCAGGGCTCAGAAGCCCAGGATGCTCAGGAAAGGCAGAGCCAAGGCAGGGACTGGGGCAGGGCAGAGAGCTCTCTATGCCCCGGGGGACCATTGCTGGGAAAAGGGAGGAGCACTGCCAGGAGCCTTCACCCCAGGAAGGCAGCGACATGCCTGAACAAGAGAGTGGCATGGGGAATAAGGTCTGTGATCTGACTGCATGTGCAGTCAGAGAGTGATGTGGTCGTGGGCAATGACACACACAAACACACAGGGGAAATGCTCCCACAGACACCTACATCAGGGCTATACATCGGCAACGCACCGAGAAACCCCTGAGGGTCAGAGCGCAGAGAGATCTTTGTGCTCATCTAGGCTAGCTCTTTACCAACTGACCTTTATGAAACCGTAGGGGTGCCAAGTCAGAGGTCACCTGCTGGGGCCTAGAAGCATGGGGCATGGGGACAGAGCTCTGGACCCCACACCTGCCTCCAGCCAGAGTAGCTCTATTTTGTCTGATACTCGGGAATGGTCAGATTCTGAGAACCACTGATCTTGTCCAGTTCACTCATTTCACAAATTAGGAACCTGAAGCCCAGAGAAGGTAAGTGACTTGCCCGAGTCACACAGCACTCAAAGCCAGGTTTCAGACCCAGGTCTACTATGACCAGAACCCAGCTCCTCCGACTCTCTGTGCATTGCCTCCCATTCGAGCTGATACGCAGTTTGCAGTCTCCAGAGTGCATGCGCACACACGCGTGCACACACACGCGTGCACACACATGCACACATTCAGGCAGACATGCACCCATGCCCAGCTCAGCATCCTTACCGCAGCCCAGCTCATCACTCCTCAGCTTACAGTCCACGGTCCCATCACAGCGCACAGCATGGGGGGGGCAGCTCTCCACCGGCTCCTTGTACTTGATCCCCGTGTGGCCCCGCCACAAATAGACTGGAAAACAACAAAGCAGACAGCTGGGTCACTGCCAACCCCAGGAAGACAAGACACTGAGCAGCCCGAGGCCCTGGGGGTTCTGAGACACCGACCTGCAATCCCTCTCGGACTCTGGGGCTCTCTTCCCCCATCTGTATGGAGAGAAAGGCTGCTCAGGAATGCTCCGGAATGCTCTGGAAAGCTCCTGCAAGCAGGGCAGCACCAGGCAGACTCAAGCAGCCACCCAGAGAGAGAGAAAGAGAGGGAGGGACAATGAGGGAGGGAGGTGTGGAGGTGGGTACAGCTTTGGGAGCTCCCATGCCCTACATGGGCCAGAGTGGCGACCAGAGAAAGCCCTCCTCCAGAATCCCAGAGCCCCCCCCTCTCGGAGCCCCTCTGGCCTCCCTTCTTCTCTGTGCTCTGAGGGTCATGGCAGAGAAATTTCTGTCTCCAGCGTCCACACGCTCAAGCACTGCCCATGCTGTCCTCTCAAAGGCTGTTCTTTCGGTCTCAGAAGCTCCTGGATTTTCCTCCTCCTCCCTCTCCCCTACACAAGGGATGTCCCCTTTGCTCAGCTCCTGCCCCATTACTTGTCTTTATGCCTTTAGATGTCTTTCCTCTCAAAGAGCAAATCTAGGTGGCTGATTCCCAAATGTCCAAGTTTTACAAACCACCTGGGAAAGTCAGCCCCGTGACTCCCTGCGTCTGGAACACTAACCTCTTCTCAAACTAGGGATCCCATCCCTCCTGCCAGAGACACCTTCCCTTGGGTGCCCAAGAAACCCGAGTTCTACCTCCTCACCCTGCCCCTCACCCTCAGCCTGACCCCCTGCTTCTCCCGCCAGCCCTACCACGCGCTCAGTCACCCTGCTCCTTCCAGACCCAGACACCAGTGCCCACGGGGCCACAGCTGGAGGGCCCCCCTGATGGTCAGCAGGCTTCAGGACATGTGGTGAAACCACACTGTGACTCTAGCTCTATCCGGGGGCCACCCTTGGATGCCAACTCATCCCTCCATGGGTCATTCCCGACTGCTCTCCCATGACTGCCAGGGGGTCCCCAGAGCAGTGCCCTGTGCGGGAGGGGCAGGAGAAGCAGGGCAGCGCATCCTGGCTGGAGGTCCACACGGACACCACGTGGCAGGCATCGTGACAGCGATGCCCCCACCTTGTCAGGCAGGTGGGGACACCGAGGCTGGGGAAGTTAATTTGTGTGGTCACACATCTGGCAAGCGGCAGAGCCAGGATGCTCTGGGGGGCCGTGCCCTTAAGCAGCACGCTACCTCCTCGTGCTCCATCCTCTTCCTGGAGTAACCCGGGCCAGCCCGGGTTTCCGCACGGTCACCCACCCAGCTCCTCCCCACACCGTGCCACCTCTTCAACAGAACCCTTACCCCCCGGCCTGGTGTTTAAAGCTGTCTACCATGTAGCTCAGCCATGCCCAGCCAAACAGAGAGCCCAGGCCCCCCAGTACTCTTTCCCTCGCTGGCTATGCGGGTCCCTTCGTTCTCCCCATGCCGACCTTGCCCCCCTGCCCCCGACATTTCCTGCAGCTGCTCGTCCCGCTCAGATGCCCTGTCCACGTGCTGTCCCATCCTCCAGGCCGTCACTTGACCCTTCGTGAGCTGGTCTCTGCCACCCCGGCCCACACAGCTGTCACATTTGTGTGACGGTCACACAAATGTGACCGTCACATTTCTTCCTGACGGTCACATTTGGCCTTAATTATTGCCATCGAGATCCCTCAGGAGACTGGACTCTCTTCCGAGGACAGGGTGGCAAAGGGTTGTCCTTCTGCCCCCGCAAGGTTCCCCGCTGTGCCGGGCCCGTGCCAAACCCAAGAACACTTTATCCCATTGTCCAAAAATGCCCAAGAGACTTTCCCTAATCTGTGTTTATATGTTTTTTTTTTTTTAAATAATTAACGTATATAGATTTTGTGCCAGGCACCGTGCCATTATGTCACTTACGGCTCATAACCCCGTGAAGTCTTTATGAGTGCTGACGGGGCACGTGGTAAGTCAAATGCACTGAAGGAACTGAATCCCATCTGAAGATGCAGAAACGGAGCTCAGAGAGGCTAACTAACTCTCTCAAGCAAGATGCACAGGAAGTAGCAAGGATGAGGCCCGAGCCCGGGTCCTCCTAACCCAGCGGCCCGGAAGGGGCCTGGAGGCCCCTGTGGACTGTGGTCCACGGCCTTTTGCGGGAGTGTCTGTGGGGGGCACTGTAGCCAGAAGAGTGTGTGTTCCCCACTCCCGTCTCCCTGCGACGCGCCCCCGTCCGCAGACCCCATTCCGCCCGGCCATGGGCCATGACCAGAGCCCGCCCCTGCTCCCTCCGTTAAACTCACGGAGAATGATGAGCGACACCACAAGGGCGATGAGGAGGAGGACACATCCGATGAGCGGCAGCTGCTTCTGGCCCTCCTGCCAGGTGAACTTGGGCAAGCTGATACCTAGGAGCGGGGCAGCAGCAGGGGAGGGTAAGGCTGTTGGAGAGGGGTCCAGTGCAGTGGAGGAGGGGAAGGAAACAGGCTGGCCCGGGAGGGCCCCACGGGGACCTCTCCACTCCAGAATGTGGCAGCACCCCACCTGATGCCCACAGCTCCCTTTAGCGGAGCATCTCCTCCGGGCCAGCCAGCCACACTGGCAAGTGCTCTCTTGTGGAATTCTCACAGCAACTGTGTGAGCTGGACGTTATCGTGCTCATTTGATAGATGGGGAAACTGAGGTTCACAAAAGTGAAAGAACTTGCTCGAGGTTACTTGGCCAGCGAACGGCAGAGCAGGGAGTCAAATGAAGTGTGTCTCGTTCCAAAAGCCACACCAGAGTGCCCCACCAGCCCCTGAGAGGGCAAGACTGTGAGAGGGGCCCCAAATATGGGACGGTGGGGACAGTCTGAAGCCCAGCACGAGAGGAGGGCAACATTGGGATGGGCAGACCCACTGTTTCGTTAGGGGCAGGGCCAGCCCCAAGGCCCATCTGCTCGCTCTGACTGCCAGCAACTGAACCAGGGTAAGTCGGGTTGGAAGGATGGAGGTCAAGAGTGCCTGCCTGGTCGGAATCTCTCCATTTCCTCCTCAGCCCACAGATGCGCCCACAGTCAGGACCCTGCTCCAAGGCCAACCCTCGCCTCCCGGCAGACCCATGGAAGGGGCTCTAACCAGAGTCCTTGCTCTCGAAATCTGCCCTATGACCCGCACTGCACAGCCTCCAAAGTTACAGCTGCTTTGTTGGTCCTGGTTTCTTCTCCCCGCCCCCCAAGGCCCCCATTTTCCACTGTCTTGGGCTTGCACGTAATGGCTTCTTTCTGCCCCACCTCCCCAGGCCCCCCACTGCCCGCCCCTGACCATTCCCCCTGCTCCTCACACATCACTATCCAAGGAGGAGAGGAAGAGAAGAGAATCCCAACTCTGAGATTTCGTCCCCGCACATCGCCTCCTTCCCTGTTCCTCTTGCCTTCCCTGCAGTGTCCCCCTTACCTGGGCTCTCCTCAGTGGCCCTGGTGGCTGGCGCTGACCTGGCAGGAGATGCCCGGATGGGCACGGCCCCCAGTGGTGTTGCTCTAACAAGGTACACTCTCGTCGGAGAAGATGTCATGGAGGCTGACTGGGCAGACAATGACCTGGAAGGGGATGCCCGGGCCGCGGACGCCCGGGCTGGGGACACCCGGGCTAGAGACGCCCGGGCTGGAGACGTCCTTGCCGGGGAAGCATTCTGGAAGCAGAGTGAAGGGCATCCTTCAGGCTGCTCGCCTGAGAACCCACCCAGCTATCAGGTTTGCTGAGCCAGGAGATCCATGCTCTGGGGCAAGCAGCTAGGTGGGGAGCAAACACTGCCCCCCATCACCACCATCATCACCTCCCCACTCCTGGCAGAGAAGCATCTGAGAAGAGAGTTTCCCAGGATGGAGCACAAGTTCAAAGAGCCTGCACCCCCCACCTCCCTACAGTCTCTCCCCATCACAGGGACCTGCAGAGGTGGGCAGAGGGCAGTGGGCCATCTGCCTGGGGCTTGGGGGGCCCTTGCTTGGGCTACATGTGTCTAGGGACCCTCCCTCTGAGGGTGGCTCAAGGAGATGTGGTCCCTGGGGAGGAAAGTGATTGCTCCTTCCGCCCTCTTCACTTCTACACCCCCCACACCATGCCCTTTCCTCTTGTGGGCATCAGACTTATAAAACCCCATTCTTACTATAAGCTGTCATCAAAAAGTGTGAATAGCACTCCTTAAGAAAAGCCCTGACCTGCCTTGTAGCCCACCATTCTCAGTAACACCAGACTTGTCTCGTTCACCCACGCACCTGCACGCACGCATGCACACACATGCGTTCACTCACCCATGCATCAGAGGCAACATCAGAAGAAGGTACAGGCAGGGGTAGGAGTCCACCACTCTTGGACAAGATCCTTAACCCGACTCAGCTGCAGGTGGAGTGGTTTGCTCGCCCAGATTTAGCACTCTAGTGGATGGTTATAGAGGACCTCACGTGCTCTAAGAGCTTTATATGTATTTACTCACTTAATCCTCAGGACAGAATTGCTCCCATTTTGCACAGGGGAAACAGAAGCAGAGAGACTAAGCAATGTGATCAAACTGTCAGAGCTGGAGAGGGGCTGGGCCAGAGCATGAGTCCAGAAAGCCGGGCTCGGAGGCCAGCTCAACCATGAGGTTTTGCTGCCTCTCTGAGGAGGGATGCAGTTGATAATGCAGCATCCAGTCTTACTAGGCAGTCAGTGAGCGCTGGTGGGGTGTTCTAAATCTAAGAGAGAGCCAGAGGGCAGTCAGGGCGGAAAGGAAGCCTGGTGGGGCCCCCAGTCCCTGTCACCTCCCTCTGGCCCCTTATACCATCCCCACCTCTTCAGCCCCCTCCAGAAACCCCAGAGGCCGCACGGGGAGCTGGGACTGGATCTGGCCCAGGGGCCACATCTGACCGTCATCATCATTCCTGCTGGGAGCTGACTGGCCCCTCAGGAGGGATGGTGAGGGCATCACACCTGTGCTGGGGACCCTGCGCTGGGCCACCATCGACAGGGCTGTGCAGGGGAGACAGGCTCTGGCCCCTGGCACCTGTTTCCATCCCTCACCTGCCAGTGTGCTTGACATTGGACATTATTAGTAAGCCAACCGGTTAAGAAAAAGTCCTCCTTGTTAGAACATCGGCCCAAGTCAACACCATCATCCCCACCAGGCAAGGGTTTCTTGTTTGGTTTTGTCATAATTGTTTTAAACTCCCTTTTCTAAGAGTCAGAGGTAATGGATTTGGTCACTTCCTCATTGTTCTGGAAGCTGCAAAATGAATTCAAGGAGGAATCTCGAGACCCTGACCACGCTCAGCTTACCACCGGGCGGGACCAGGAGCCATTATCCCAGGGAGTTGCTGGGTTACTTAACGGATGTGGGTAAATACACGTGGATCCAGGTGCCCCAGCGAGCCGAGCAGGGACACACTTGTGTGTGTTTAGGGACCAGAAGGGCAGCTGCCGCTGCTGCTGACCCAGCTGGACCAGAGCTCGGATTCCCCGTCTCATCCCCATTATCTAGAGACTAGATTTCCATAAAGTGAAGACAGGTGAGCCCCTAGACACTCCAAGGGAAACAGGACTGGGGCTGTGGGCAAGGAGAGGTGGGGAGGCTATGTTGAAATATAGCACCCATCGGCTGCTAGCTTTGTCTTTGGAGTCAGGCAGACCTGGGTCTCCATCCTACACCCAGCAGTGCGACCTCGGGCAAGACCCTTAACCTTCCTTTTTCTTTTTCTTAATCTGTAGAATGGGACTAATGACCCTGAGGATTCAATGAGATAAAATAGGAAATGTCTTGCCTGTGTCTGGCACATAGCAGCTGGGCAGGAAATGACCATCTCCCTTCGCCTTTGCATTAGCCCACACAGCGCCCACCTCGCTGAGATTTAACAGCCGTGGGGCATGACCAAAGGGCTGAAAGGTGGTGGGAGCTCATCTTAGGGAGAAAAGAGGGTGCTGGACAAAGGCCAGACTGAGGTCCTTCAATGACAGAGACAAACCCAGGCTGTGTAGAGTCTGTGCTTCCCACCAATGGTGGCCCAAGGCTTGGCACCTGCCCGGGACCCTGGCACTGGGCACCTCAGCTGGCCTGCCCACCTTCCCTCCCTGCCCTGCTCACACTATAAGCCTTCCCCGCCTTTGGGGGCACATTCCCACTATAGGATACAATAAAATGATAGTAGTTCACCATGTACGGTACTTGAGAATTTACAATAAGCTTCCACATCTGTGGTCTCGTGGGGTTCTCACTCCAACCCTGAGAGTTTGGTGTTTTTAGAAGTCTATTTTCCAGGTGAGGAAACCAAGGCTCAGGGCTCAGAATGCCCAGAGTCACACAGTCGGGACGCTGCCCCAAGCCTGCGAGTGTCTGAGGCCCCTGCCCTCTCAGGTCAGCAGCAAAGCCCCCAGCACAGCCTTCTCCAGCTGTGTACACGGGGCAGTTGGTCTGCATTCGTGACACGGCCTGAGAACAGGGACCTGGGGCCCTGCGGCTGGGAGCACCATGGGGAGCCTGGCAGTGGGGACAGTGGTTCTACAGCAATCTCGGTCTTATAGAGCTTTCTGGTGGGAATGGCAGGTGGGTCCTGGGGCGTCCCAGGACAGGAGGGCAGCATGCCAGGCATCACGCACTCTCTACACCAGCAGGTGACTCTGGGCCAATGACCCCACCTCTTCACGCCTCCGCTTCCTCATCTGTAAGGTGAGCCAATCACCCTGCTTCAAAGCAGTGTAGTAATAGATGCTGTATGTACGGTAAGGACTTGGTGACCATGAGCTGTGACAGTGGGTGTTTATCTGTTAGAGATGCTGGACTTGAAGTAGAAGAATCTGTGTTCAAATATGACTGCATCCAGGGACGCCTGGGTGGCTCAGTCGGTTGAGCGGCTGCCTTCGGCTCAGTTCATGATCCCAGGGTCCTGGGATCGAGTCCCACATCGGGCTCCTTGCTCGGCAGAGAGCCTGCTTCTCCCTCTGCCTGCCTCTCCCCCTGCCTGTGTTCTGTCTCTCTCTCTGACAAATAAATAAATAAAATCTTTAAAATATATATATATATATGACTGCATCCATTCCTGAATGGGCTGCCCGGGGGCAAGTAAGGGAACACTTCAGTCTGTCTCCACGCGTGTAAGATGGGGCTGACCTTGCCTCCTTCCCCTGATAACCGCAGAAGAAACACGGAAGAGCCTGGTCTGTAAATGCGTGTCACACCGTAACAAAGGCGGCAGCCCATGAGGCACTTAGCTTGATCCTGTTTCAACCTCATCACAGCTCTTGACGGCTGGTCTTGTTAGCCCCATTTTATAGATTTTGAAACTAAGGTCCTGGGAGATTCAGAACATGCCCAAACTCACCTCTCGGGGCTGACTGACAGGGCTCGTATCCTGACCAGGCCTCCCAGGAGTAAGTAGAGTCTGGACCCACGGTATCACGAGAGCCCCCAGTAACTTCCTGCACTTCCTCGAGGCTGACAGCTCGAGAAGAGCGTCCATACCCATTATTTCTTGTGGTTCTCACAGGGCCTCGCCCGCAAGCTGGGCAGGAACTATGACCCCCCCAGCCTATCCTTGAGGAAACTGGGGTGCAGCAGACTAAACAGCATGCCCAGAGCCCCTGAACTGATTGGCAGGCTTGTAGGGATTTATCATAACCTTCGGATTCACATTCAAGAGCTCAGGCTGTCCCCACCGGAGCGGGACCCCATGGCCTGGTCCTGCTACTGCGTCACTATGGAAGGAACAAAGGGGCCACAGCTGGCGGAGGCCCCAGGGGAGATGGTGGGAAGGCTGTGGGGGGGGCAGGAACAGTGGGAGGGAGTTAGACCAGAGGGGTAGCTGGTGGAGGGTAGGCATGGTGGGAAGCTCAGGGCAGCCAGAAAGAGAGAGCAGGGGCCTCCTGAGCCTTGCTCAGCCCTCTCCCCAATGCTGGTTCCATCTGCACATAGATCCCAACGTGCCCACCCACGGCCTCGGCCCATAGGAAGCAGGGAGGAGAGTCCCTGGGGAGGTGAGCTGAGGTCCAGGCAGGAGACCCCCCTGGGTCCCTCTTCTCTGAGTCTAGAGGGAGCTGGGGCAATGTAAAATGGGACTCATCTTGGGCTCAGTACCCAAGGGGCCGGAAGGGGGTGAGTCATCCCCAGATTCTAAAGCTGCTGCCTCTGAACCTCAGCAGCCTGTGTCAAGTCTTCCCAGAGCTGGGGTGTGGGGGTGTAGTCATGGAGGGGAAGCTGGGCATTGGGGGTGGACAGGGCAATATCCAAGAAAGAGCTGGAGGCCGTGGAGGGCCTGGTCTCAGTAGAGCAAGCACTCTGGTGTCTGAGCCGGTGGGAGGCACGTGCAGAGATTTGGGCCCTGAAGACCAAGGGCAAGAGAAGAGGCCTGACCCCAAGGCCCACATGACAGCTGTTCACGGAGAACCATGAACCCCAGCAGGATGGACAGGCAGCCCCAAGACCAGAGGAAGGCAGCCTCCACAGTGAGGCCATCTGCCCCATCCCCCTGACTCTGAGCCTCAACCCGAACCATCACAGAACACTGGGAAGAATCCACTTTTTCAGGGACCACTAGAATAGATTCCACAGCCATCCTTTACCCCTTTCGTGGCCTGCCACCCCACCCGCTGGAAGTTCTTCCTGATGTCTGACCTACTAGAGCAGTAACTCATTTCCTTTCCTCCATTCTTGGGGAGCAACTGCTGAGACTCCAGCCTCCCTCGTGGTGGCATGGCCTCACCCTCAGAGCAGATGCCTTGAGTAGGTGGGGGAGAGGGCAGGAGACTTCTTGCCCAGAGCCCCAAAATGCAAGGGGCTGAGCCCAGACCAGAACCATCCTGACTCCTGGCCTTTGCCAGTGAGCAGAAGACCCTGCAATGGAACTCAGATGACCAACTCCAGGCTCTCCACAACCTGTCTGCAGGCGAGAGGCCCCTCAGCCCATCTGGGGGCAGGTGGACAGGGCAGAGCCAGGGGGTGGGTGACTCTGAACTATTTCCCTGGCCAAGCACTGCCAATCATTGTTTTTTTGTTTTTTTTTTTTTAAGATTTTATTTATTTATTTGACAGAGAGAGACACAGCAAGAGAGGGAATAAAAGCAGTGGGAGTGGGAGAGGGAGAAGCAGGCTTCCCACCGAGCCGGGAGCCAGATGCGGGGCTCGATCCCAGGACCCTGGGACCATGACCTGAGCTGAAGGCAGACGTTTAACGACTGAGCCACCCAGGCGCCCCACACTGCCAATCATTCTTTCCTGGCCCTGCCTCTCCTCCCCGCCAGCCCCTAGGGTGGTCTCCGGGGTTCGCCGGTGGGGTAATACATTCGTGAGCCCTCACTGCTTCGCAGAGCTTTCATGACTCCCACCTGCCTTTGCATTCCCAGGGGCCCCTACTCACAACAGGCCCCCCGAGGTGCTCTGAGGCAGGAGGTGGCCTGGCTGACAGGCAGGCCAGGCAGGGGTCCACAGGGAGGCAGTGAGCAATGAGCCAGAGAGAGGGCTGAACGGAGCAGTCCCTGGCTCTGGGACGTTTTCCAAGCACTTTCCTGAATAGGAGTCGATAAGAATTATTTTTTTTTTTTAAAGATTTTATTTATTTATTTGAGAGAGAGAAGAGAGAGAGAGCACATGAGAGTGGGGAGGGTCAGAGGGAGAAGCAGACTCCCCGCCGAGCAGGGAGCCCGATGCGGGACTCGATCCCGGGACTCCAGGATCATGACCTGAGCCGAAGGCAGTCGCTTAACCAACTGAGCCACCCAGGCGCCCTCGATAAGAATTATTATTCCCATTTTACAGGCAAGGAAGTAGAGGCCTAAAACATTCATGCGCTTTCCTCGGAGTCACTTTGGTACACCTTACATTGCAGAATAGAGACTAAAACCCACGGGCCCTTGCACCTAGGCCATGGCCCTCTGTGCCACAGCTGCCAGGGGGAGATTGCCCGCCCCAGGCTGAACAGGACATTCTTACGGTTTCCTGTGGCAGACTCTGTCCCGTAGGCCCTTACCTGGTGGGGG